CCCATTAATATGTATTTTACTTTGAGTAAACCAAGCTCCTCACCTCCACATCCCCTCTATGAAAACGCTTTGCTCTTCTTCTCTTACAAGGCTTTGTGAATTTATTCTTGCTGTTTATCTCCTCAGCTAGAAATACACTTACATACACACACATATATATGCATGCATATATGCATATACGAGCTTGCAATGTTTGCAAATTGCAAATATATATAAAATCCTATGTAGGTGCATATACATATTATACATATACATGAATATACAGTCTTACATTGTTTTCCAGTTGCTAAGAAATAAAAACACATGCATATACTTGTATATTTGTATACACAGTCTTGCATGATTTCTTAATTGTTTTACATTTGTTCATTTGTTCATTTTGCCTCCCAAACTAGATTTAAAGTACTTTAGGACACAGGCCTTCTTTTGTTCTTTGTATATAATCTTCATATTACCTAACACAGTTCATTCCATCAATAAACACATGAAGATTGACTCATTCATTATGCTACAAGTATTTATTGAGTTCTTACTTTCTGCCATTTTCTAAGAAAATATCTAGAAAAATGTCGGTGAACAAGACAGGCAGATTCCCTGCTCCCCAAATGCTCAATGGTCTGTTGAATTGCTGATATTTGTTATTTTTAACTTTTTGATAGGTACATAATATATGTCAATTTTTGCAAAATTTATAATATAAGTGAAGCCAAATGAAGAAATGTAAAGTATCTATATTTCCATTAGAATCATCAAGTAGTCTTGAAAACTTCCACATTCATTTCTTTGTGGCATATAACAGGATAACTTACACACAAATACAAAACCACCACTCACCCTTTTCTGCTACAAAGTTCACAGTTTCAAGCTTCCTGAGAGTTCCAGCAACCACCAACCATGAATGCTGGCTACAGCTGTCAGAGTCCTTCTCTCCCCATCAGCAAAGGCAGACCTCAGAATGTATTACAAGTAATGACCTAGAGACGACTGCATTCTCACTTGCCATCGTTCTAACGAACCCCAAGTAGCTTCATTCAGAAGTAAAGACGAATGAATGAAAGATGCCCATTCAGTTGTATCACAGAGGCATTAAAGCAGGTATTAAAATAAACCAGGGACAAGGTTGCCCACAGTGACCCAGAAAGGCCAATATGCTATTTAAACTAACCCCATGCCATCCATCTTTACACACTGCTGTGCTGTAAAAGTAGTCCTTTATTCTCCTCCTTCAAACAATGCACAAAGGCAACAGACGGAAGGAAGTTATGTTGCAATATTCTGAAACATAAATCTTGCTACCAGCCGGTCCAGGGACGCATCCTGTTTTCCTTACACATGGATCAGATTCACTGGAGGCTGTTACCTCTAAGCCTTTTGCCTTGTTTTTTAAAGTGGCTTCTGAATCGTACCTGGTCCCCTGCATTTACACATCCAAACACAGGTTGCGTAAGCAGAGATCATTGTTTGTGTGTCCAGTTACTCAACCAACATATGCCACTGCATGTTGCTACCCCCTCTGCTACCACCCGGAATTATCTTTCTCAAATTGTGACATTCAGCTTCATTCTTTAACATTATTTTGTGATGTTAAATAAAAACTAAACTTAGATTCAAACATACGGAAGAAACAAAAAGAAGAGATACATAATTTACTCTCAACTTTTTTTTTTTTTTGACGGAGTCTCGCTCTGTCGCCCAGGCTGGAGTGCAGTGGCCGGATCTCAGCTCACTGCAAGCTCCGCCTCCCGGGTTTACGCCATTCTCCTGCCTCAGCCTCCCGAGTAGCTGGGACTATACTCTCAACATTTTAAGATTCTGCCACTCTATTATATAGCCCTAAATCCCACTTTCTGCTATGATGAGAATTCAGAGAGCCGATGGCCAGTTTCCAGTGGTGTCATTGACGTGCTACTTGAGTCAGGGAAAAGCATTTAACTACTCAGTGCCTGATTTTATTCTGGGAATCCAAAGTAGATAATGCTTGTTATTGTCAGATCAGAGACAGCAGAGCCCGTGACTGTTTAACTTGCTCAAGTACAAGGCCTTCTCAAATGTGATGAGGCAGGACTTTGCAAATTGAAAGAAGGTGAGTGCAGGTGAAAAGTCCACTGTGAGTGGTTGGCCTTGGGAAGGCACTTCCCTGAAATGCTGCTTGGGTAGAAGCAACACAAACCTGCGGCCATGAAAGAGTTATCTGGTTTCATACGAATCTTCTTCACAGGGAAGACCCAATTTTAGAATGTCACCTCTGCTCAAAACACACTTTCCTTTCGCAGTATAGAAAAGATTCCTGAGTCTAACACTAGAGGGCAAAGAGTGGAGGCGTCCTCACGCCAGGCAAATGCTCCTGAAGCTGCTGCTGTTGGTAACGGCGTTGCCACATATGACCTTACCCTTTGCCTAGATAAAGAATGGGCTTTATGACATCAGAGAACACTGTTATGGGAACTTACCTAAACAGTCACTTTTGCCCTCTGACACTAAGAGAATACATGACATATTAGTCCTGGAGCCCCAGGCATCCCAATACCATTATATGACTTCTCATTCTTTATATCCAGTACCTTACTACGTCTTCTTTCAGAAATCTGACCAATTAATCATTAGTAATTTATAAAGGGGAAGTTTGTGACTTTATTTAAAAGCAGGGTTTTTCAGCCTCAGTGCTTTTTTCATTGGAGGCTGAATCATTTTTTTGTGGTGGGAGCTGTCCTACATGCTGTAGGATGTTTAGTAGCATCCCTTGACTCTAGTCTCTACTCAGTAAACGCTCGTAGCATCCCCTTGTCCCCAGTGGTAACAACCAAACATGCCCCCAGACATTGTCAAATGTCCCCTGAATTGGGGTGTGGGGTGGGGACCAAAATTGCCTTTGGTTGAGAATCATTGGTTTAAAATGACCTAATGAGAGACTAAATTACATGAACCTTCTGTTTTAGAGTGCTGAAAATAATTTTATGAGCGTAGAATATGATACAGGGAGACAAAAAGGGTGGTATGGCATATGTTAAGCACCTATATGTAGATAATTAACTAGATGCTGAACCAAGACTCTTGAAGGTATAAATGTGAAGTATCTCTCACAAATACCACAACACAAAATACAGGGACATAAAGGTTATGGAGAACGTTGTATTTTTTTTAAAGTAGCCCACCAGAGAGGCATTGACTCCTATGCCATCTCCCCCTACCTCTAAGTTATTCTCTAGCCTCTACAAAATGCATGGCATTCATCTGATATGGAATAGCTGATTTTTAGATAAGAGGTCTATGGAGATGGACATTTTTTAAAGCACTGTTTATTTAATGCAGCATGACTTAGAATGGGCCTGTAACCTGACAAGTGTACTGAGTGAGGAATGTTCAATTTACCAATTCTAACTGGCCAAGTCCTCACATGAACTTTCTAAGACCCGGCTGAGAAGCCTGGGAAAGTAGAACTAACCACACCTTCAGTGTTTCCTCCACCTTGTTCTGTCTCCCCAGTCCAAACTCTACTACCTTAAGCATTCTTCTAAAACCCACTTAATCCCCAGAGGTATTACAAAATCTCAACCGTCGGCAGAACCTACAGCCGTCTCAGCTCACTAGCTAACTGTACCTCCATGCCAACCAGCACTGAAAGGAAAGATTCTGTTCTATTTTTAAATATATTGAGCAAAGAAGCAGCTTGATATGCCTTTGTAAAGGATGGCTGTCACCCAAATTCATGGGTTCTCTATTTTTAATCAAGGATATAAACTTTGAAGTCCGATAAATTTGGGGTTCAAATCCCAGGTCTTTATTGTCAGCTGTGTGATTTGGGGAAAATCAGATAACCTCTCTGAATTTCAGTGTCTGCATATGTAAAACAGGAATGATAATAATAGGACCTAACAATAGGTTGTTTTCAAGGATACGTGAGATGACATATATTAAGCATGAGTATACCAAAATGTTGGCCATTATTGTCATTACTATTATTGTTATCAACATTAATATATTCATCATTCACTCATGATTCAACAAACATTTATTCAGCATGTATTGCATGCTGGGTTCCAGAAAAACTCAATTAATATTTTAAACTTGGCTTTCTTAAGACTCGGATTTCAACCAAATAACACGGCAGTATAAGAAATGTCTTTGCGGGTGAATAAGAAAAGTCCAGCACATACTAGGTGCTCAGAAAACATTAGATAATGATGATGATGATGGCACTGGCAGTTGTGATAAAGAAAACCAGTGGATTTGTCAATCTTCATTTAATTCACTTGCCAGAGTACTCACTAAATGTTTGTTCCTATAAAAAGTCATGTATTTTCAAGTAAATGAGTACTGATCTTGTGGGAAAGACTTTCTTTTCTCAAAGTAACACTTTAATAGGAATAGATTAACATTCTTTATTATAGGGTAGGCTTATAATAAGAGTCCGGAGTCACGGAGGTAATTCTCGCTACTGAAAAGTAAATGAATTTTGACTGATTTATAAGTATACAGTAGATTAGTTAGGTTTAGAAATTCCCATTATATAAAGAAATTAGAGATATGAACCAAAAATATGATTAATAATAATAATCAAAAGAGCTCACCTAATTAGTAAAGCAAATAAAGGTAGACATCTACCCCCTTGGTTAAAAAGAAAGGCCTTCTTATTTATTAATTTATATGAGGTACCATTTATTGCTCATTCTTTCTGTGGGAAATAGACAGGAATAAACAGGTTTAGACTTTTGTTCTTCTTTGTCACTAACCTTTCACAACCCTTTAGTATTTCAACATAGTTTAACTCACTCACAGTTGTTGATTCTTAGTCCCTTCAATCTTTAAAAAAATACAAATAAAAATAAACCATTTGTTTTCCAAACACTGTTTTTCCATCAATTAGAAAGTATGTAACTGTGATGAAAAGTCTTTTGATGATAGCAAAGTCAGGACCCATTATATGTTCAGGCCTGTTACCATGTTAGTCTCGCCCAAGCCAAAGTCAATGAAAAATTAATTTTTCCAAAGGATGTCCTTACCTCAAATATGTTTGAAGGCTCATTGTTGTACTGATTGGATATTATTTCTGATTGGTCACTGCACCACTTGAGTCCACCCAAAAAGCTGTCTGTATCCAAGTCGTTCACATCTAGTTCAGAAAGATCAAGTTCGGGAAGATCTGGACAAAGAGGCTGGTCTTCACCAACCAGAGCAGCACACTGCAGGAGGCAGAAAAATAAAAATAAAAAAATTTTTAAAAAGCTTCCATTAACCACAGGAATTTATTAAACTGCAATAGCATGTGATAGGAATTAAGCCTAGTTAATTCAACGACATTACCAGAGCTAGTTTCTGGCACTTGAGTCAGCAGGAAAAACACCTAAAATCTTTACTCACTTAGCTCCTGAAGGATAATTTTCCTGCTTTATTCCATCCAAAATTCTACCTCCAAATACATGGTAAATACCATGCTCCATGACGCTTTCTCTGATTCTCCCAGTTAGAAATCAACTAGAAATTTTTGTACCTCTTTGTACAAAATCCTTAGTACCTGTTTGATAGTTACTGCTTCCAAAGTTTTAAACTGTCTTATGGTTAACCATAAGACAAACTTGATTTTACCTTGGAAAGTTGATCACACATAATAGACACTCAATAAACTATTGCTAAATGGAAAAAGAACAAAGGAACTACACAAGGAAAAATTGTCTCCATTTACACTCCTTTTAAGCATTATAATCCATATAATTCATTTAGCAACTAATGATGCAAAGTCCTTTGACTCATCTGTGATTCTCCTGAATTGTTTTTATTTAAATCATTTACTCTTATTTGACTCTTCATGACTTTCTGGACTTCATTCTTAAAGGCAAAAGCAAGTTCCTTAAGATGAAGGACAAAAACCATAATTTTTTTTCTATATGGCTTTTGTATGTAACTTGCAAGGGGTGCGTGTGTGTGTGTGTGTGTGCGCGCGCGTGTGTATGTGTATGTGTATGGTTGGCATCACCTAGTACCCGGAAAAGAAAACTCACAAGAGCATACCATCAGTGTATTTTGTTCATTATTTATGCATATCTAAACTGTGCTTTACGTGAATTCAAAATAACTATTTCTGTTTAGAGTTTCAAAATAATTTCTATATATTGAGAGGCTTAAAATATCTTCTACCATGGCTGGGCTGCTTGTCACCAAGATTATTTTAGATTGTCAAAGTATTTCATCCCCTTACATGAACTAGACAGTCTTTTCAACTGTTTTACCATGGGGCTTTTGGAGGCAGGTAGACTCCCCTTACCAATAAGGTGGTCTCCTAAACTTGAATTGGCTACCTAACTGCTAATGTCAGTCCGCAGACAGTAAAGAACACTGCAGGAACTCCTATCACAGGGGTCTGGCATTGCCAGAACGGTAAGAACTTTATCCACCTGTGAGTAGTGGTGTCTCAATCAGGAGGCACACACTGACGCAGCACCCTCGTGGCCCTGCCTTCCAAGGTCGGGAGAGATGCTGTGGAATTGGTCACATCCAGGCAGCAGTTAGGCATAAAATGAAAGATGCACCTTGACATTTACATTTTGAATGAAGTAAGTTTTATGCAGATTTTCTTTCTCAAGCACCCCTGTTATCCCTGGCAGGGATTCCTAGCAGGCCACATTACACAGGTCATATGCAGCAGCGTGATCAAAAGCAACATGCTGAGAAGTAAGTACCGGGTAATGGAGTCAGCAGTTGGTAAGGGGAGGATGGGGGGAGACTGAAAATCATTGCCATCCTTTTCAAAGACCACTGGGCCCCAGTGAGATCCCTGGCAGCAGGCACAGAGGAATGCAAAGAAAGGGCCGTCCTCGCCATCAAAACTCTTTCCTTATCATTTTATTGGTCTTTCCTTTTATTATCTGAGTTAGCCCAAACTTACAGCTCAGTATACTTGACAAGGCATATAAGTAAGTGGAGGCTGGGCTGAAGAGATCTCATTCTGGCATAATGCTCGTATTTGGTTGTGGGTGTAACACTTTCCAGACTCCATTCTTGCCCATACAGCTGATCCTCCAAGCCCAAACACACTATCTTAACTTTTCCTCAATGTCACCAATTCAGAGATAGGGGGAGAACTTTTTCAATGGTGCTAGATACTCTAGGATGTTATGGGGCATAGTCTTTCAAAAAACATGAACAACAAAGATAGGAACACAAAATTAAAAATAGTCAAGAAAATATAGGTTTTCCACATACGGCTTAAGTTCCTGTTGTGAAACTTAGGAACCAACCATGTTTTGGAAGGCTAAAGTGGCATACTGATTTGTGGACAACTTTTTGTTATCCCTCTCTTTAACTGCCCTCTTTGGCATGACTTATTCAAAACCCTTTAACCTTCCATAAATATGTATTTTGAAATAACTTTTGAAAACCATGGAACAGGCCAGGTCAATTTGTTATATTGGTGCTATCTTGTCATTTACATATTCCTTTCCTTCCTCTCACTTGCTCTCTCTTGCTCTCTCTGTCTGTCTCTCTCTCTCTCATTTTGCTTTTACGTTATGGTTGAGAAAAGTGCATGTGCTCTTGCCGATGTTGACATGCTAATAAAATCTGTGCTTCTGAATGTGGCATTATCCTGCTAATCTAAAACACATTAGTGGTAGCAAGTGTTCCTGTTATTAATTTATATTTGGCCTTTGGACGATGCCAGACTTAACAGTCCAAGCCCTGTAACTGTCCTCATCTGACATGCTGATATTTACTGTTTCCCTATACATCTGTAACAGGTGTGCTTTATTGCAATGACACAGACACATTCTACTGCCTCTTTGCAACTATGACAGCTATTTCACAACTGTAGCCTCAATTTTATAACAAGATTTAAGAGGATAAAGCAGTCACTAAACACAAAAGGCTAATTATTGTCTGTTATTTCACCCCAACAGACTTTTCTCTTAGTTAAGGAGCAGACAATAAATTAGCTTAACTGCATTGATGATAATGAATCATTATAATTAAGTATAATTCTCCATTAACCTTTTGGAGGTTTTTTGTGCCATTGATGGTAAATTTTAAAGAGAGAGAGAAGAAGGAGTGGATTTGGTCACATTAATTATATTAATGAAAAAAGAAACTTGGTCCTTAAAAAAATTAGTCAAGATAGGGCAAAGGGGTGGAGAGAGGGGCAGTAAAGAATGACAGACTTAGTAGGGTGTATGTCATTTGAATTGTCTCTATCAATCTTAGTAACCTTATTGTACATCACCTTCATTAAACTGTGAAACACGGGGCACTCCAAGTAGCTATAGTGATATAGGCCTTTATTAACCAATGTACTACCCTGTCATTATGTGCAAAAGGGCATAATACGTTTTAGGATGACAGCAAACATTAATGATTCAAAAAATGAAAACTGCCTACGCTACCTGCTGCTCGTAATATTTTAGACTGGCGAAGGTGATTCCCAGAGCCGCTGCCATGTAGGCAAAGCTTCTAGCATCTAGCTGCCTATAGTGTAACAGAGAAGTGACTGGCCAATCTCAGCCGACTGGCGACTCCATCCACGGCTGGACAAGTAGCCAAGACCTTTCCTCCTTAAGAAAAAAATTTAAAGGCCACAGTTTTAAATGCTTCTGATGCTGATTTGAAAATGACTGCAGGAATTCCAGTGATTAAAATAAATCTTCCTTATTTCCACATGCTGTAGTTCCTCAATCAACTCCTAACAGCATCAAGAATAATACATGATGGAAAAATGAAACTACAGCAGCTGAGACCCACAGTGCCAGCCGGACAACCACCCACAGGACACTCCGGCTACTCAAAGACAATTAGGACTTTGAAGCCACTTATAACCCTGACTCATAATGGCTACAGGGCATATGAATGATCCATATCTATTCCACCTTACCAAGAAATCAGAACAAGATAACAATTACAATCCACAAATACGATCTACCAAGGCAAGGGAGGGCAAATGGAGCCAACATTTGCAAACCCAGCAAAGAGTTAAGAATCCCAGGCATGCCTCGCTAGATAGGAAAAAAGCATTCACAGACGGCCTTGGCCAAATTATGTTCACTTTAGATGTGTATCGCTGCCTCACATGGACATCTTATTTAATCAAATCACGTGTGGGCTTGATCCTCCCCCTTACCCTACGTGCCCCCAGCTACCCAGAGGAAACACGCGCAGTCTTTTGCCAGATTCATTGTTAGCAGCTGGGATCCTCCATGCAATTCAATTCGAGTCCATCTCACCAGAGTCCACAGAAAGTTTCGCTTGTTTCCCAAGTTGCCCAAACTTTCCTTCCGAGAACATTCCATTGTGCTGAATGCAAACACGCCGAGGTCCTCCGTCCCCCCACTAGACTCCAGAGATTACGAGGAAACTGCTTGCGTTATTCTCCCCCCTGTATGAATTGTAGCCAGCAGAGACTGTGGAATTGATGTATTGCTGTCTATTTTTACACAAGCAGCGAGCAGCTCCACACACAGTCCTGCATAAACTCTATTCTCTCTCGGCTTCAGGCAGCTCTCCGTGGTACAGGAAGATTTAACCATTGGCTTCCCTGCCACCGACGCGAACGGAAAACCTTGCACTGCCAGGCATTTCTTTTTATTCGCTGGCCAAATCTTTCAACCATGTATAGGAGTTTTAAAGGAAGCAGCATCGTTGTTTTGTGTTCTGTGGGAAAAGCAATCTAAAATAGCCCAGCAGGATTATTTAGGATTTTGTAAGTTCTCTGTCTGATGAACAGAGAGAGAGGGGGGAAGAAAAAATCCGGACTACAGTCAAAACGGACTATATTTGAACACATCCATTTTAATATTTTTATCTTCGTCTTATTATAAATAGAAATGGCATTTTTCCAACCAGGCCACTAAACACCACTGGAAAGGCTTCAGCTTCTGATTCATATCAATATCTTAGAGCATAAATATTGCATATGAGTAGAAACAGTGCCAAAGTCACATGGAAAGAGTTTCTAACTGCAACAGATACTGATGACAGCAGCTAAGCTTTGATTTGCTCAAGGCATCTCAGAGCCACCTTAAAATAGCAAACTTATTGGAGTTAAGATAAGATTGAGGTTCTCTTCTAAAAGCTCCCGCCTGGACTACTTTCCTGGCTCTTCTCTTTGCCCAAGCCCATCCCCCTTACAGGAATAATAGCATCTGAGGGAAGCGTCAGTCCTGGCTGCAGCGCCGAGCCCTGCCCCAGCTCACCTCGATGTCACTCCATACAGACTCAGAGTCCTGGTTGCACATGTCCCACGCCATCCAGCTCCTGAATGACGCCAGTCAAGCTTTTTCAACTCCAATCCACAGTGACACAGAGCACACACTCATGCAGGCAACCAGCCCCTTACTGAGAGTGAACTGAAGGCACCTGTCTTACTACAGTCCCCAGTCACATGACAAAGCTATTAAAAAGTAGGCTGGGCTGTCACTCACCCAGCCTCCCTTCCCCTGTGCAGCTTGCTGCTCTAACTCGTGACGTCACTCAAAGGCAGCCCTCTGCCTCAGTGAAGTAACGCTTAAAAAAAAAAAAGAAAGAAAGAAAGAAAGAAAGAAAGAAAGGAAACACTTGGACTTTTGGAGGCTTCAAGCATCATGCTGTGATTAAAGCCAGCTTTGAATGCCACAGACTCTAAACGGAGCCCTGGCCATATAATAACCAAAATCCCCTGCAATCTTTTTTTAATTTATTTTCCTTCCAAAACAAGCAAGTGGCAAAGCTCCCTGCTTCATGACAGAGTCACTATATTCTTAGCTAAAAGGTGTATTCCCTGAGAACTCTTTAATTCTAAGATCTCCAAGTGGACTCAAGCTCAGTTTGGGACTAAAGCAAGAGCTTATCACATGATGCATTTTTATGAGACATTTTCTCATTGAGGGAGTGTTTGAAAGCAGCAAATGAGGCTTTTTTTTTTTTTTTTTTTTTTTTTTTATGAGTCTTTTTTTTTTTTTTTTTTTTTTTTTGCTTGTTTAATCAACAACATAGCCTGTATTTATTTGTTAAGGTATAAACAAACTCCTCCACCCAGAATTCGGCTGCCCCCATGGCAGTAGGGAATACCAGCTCCCGAAGTACTGCTGCAGTTTTCTTTGCTCCATAAAAGGAGAACAAGCCACAAAACCCCATCCTTTCAGCTTCCTTCTAATTATTTCCATTTCTCTCATAGGCTCCCAGAAAACAAGTGTTAGTAAATACAGTCGCTGCTGCTGTGCTCAGATCAGCTTAGATTCCGGGCTCCTATTTTTTATACATGTAGCATTTCCTCCCTAACTGCCTTAGGGTGCCTTTTTGAATAAACATTGAATTCCAACCCTAGTGCCCTGGGTTGTGTAGTTTGCGTTTTGAAATCAAGAATGTCCGTGAACTGAGGGAAAAATACCAACACACTATTAGCAGAAATATTCAATTCCTGAGCTTTACTTTCTATTATTTTTCAGCTTGTGCCTTGAGACAATGAGGGCTAATGCAGGTGCAACTGTTTTATGATGACACTACATATTGAATACATAACAAACTCAAGGTACTGGATACAGTGGAAAAACACTTCCTGTAACATGACAGTGGTCTGACTTAACCCTTCCAAGTTCCCAGGAGATGTACACATGTATGTATCTGTGTGAATAAACATGTTTTCATAAAATGTTAAACCCAATACACTTTTAGAATCAGCTCAATTCTTTTACTTGGTAATAATTTACCTGAAAGCAATCCCCCAGTCATCTAAACATAATTTGTAAAGCACTATTTCTACTGAGGTTAATATACCCTAGTCTTCATTGTCCGTCTTCTTATACAGAAAAACATGGTGATTTGCCCTAACACATATTTTAAATATGAAGTTGCTCAAATATTAAAGTGAAAGAAAGAACAAAAGAAACAAAACACCACCAGACTGCTGCTTCTTTCAGACCATCCATATTATAAGAGATTTGTGTGCTGTGATAGCTGCAACAAGTTGCTAGTAAATTCCCAAATAACGTCAGGAAGTTGACAGTGTATCATTACTGGGCATAAAAAGGTGGCCAAGAGCTTTGACATTTTAAGTTTGCTGAATACAGTTCACAGGCACATTTTCCCTTTTACAAACAGGAGAAAATGACTGTAGTTTTAATTTTCTAATGAAAGAACAGGAAAATACAACCTCGGGAATGCTTTTATACAAGCAATTAGTGGCATTACTCTGCACTCCCCACAAAGAAACACTAATTTTCTTCCCAATTATATTCTGATTTAATGCAAAACTTCAGTAAATTATTAAAATTCAGGACAAAGGTCATTGACTCTCCCCTTAACAATCAACTGTGAAATAATATTGGTCACCTGGCCAAGAAGAGTCAATGTTTATTAATTATTATCATGTGATTCTTCCACTGTGATATTCACTGATACTTTTATTTGTGTTCATCCAATGCTAGATATTCATCATATGTTTAAAACCTACTCACATCTTTTAGAGATGTTCTTTACATTGGAACAGGCTCATTATAATTTTTGATATTCTAACCTGCCCAGATTGTATTGTTAGGGTTTTCTTATTTTTTGCCATCTAATTATACTTCTAAAAAATCAAATCAGCACATGCACTGAAACCAGAAGTGATTTCAAATACACTTGTTTTTTCTTCACTATCACTATCACAAAGAGGATGGTAATTCAGAAGTAACAACATTTAAAGGACTTATAAACTACAGTATATTGCATTGCCCCCTCAAATTTCTATTACTGGACAAATCAAAATTAAATAGATTCTTAGGACAAATTAGAGTGCTTTCCACTATTTTTTTTTTTTTTGTCTTAAAACTACAACTGTAATGAGAGGGATGTTTTAGAGGTTTTATAATTTTGTTAATTAACTCTTCAGATTAAAATTTTTCTTCTGTCCAGTTTTTTTTCTTTGCTCGGGAGAACTTAAATTGTTCATTGCTCACCAACCTTGTTTTTTCTGGTTCCCCGGGCCATTTCTATATTTAATTCCCTCTCTGCCTTGACTATTTCTCTCACTCTCTACTCACAGCCGTCCTTTCACCCCTTCGTCAACTCTATCTCCAAAATTTCCAAATATCTGGTTTCACACAACAAGGATATATTGAAACTTTACTGTGTGCACAGCCATATATCACCAGGACTGCTAAGAAAGCATATAAGATGGACACAAGAGAGCTTACAATTTTAAGGGGATGACAACCCTTAAAAATGGAGAATAATTTGGTATGAAAAACCAATGTCACTTGGATCAACACCCAGATTCCTCTTCTACTGCTTAAAACACACCCTGGTGAGGTACAAGGTCCTTTAATTGACCACTGCAGTTCACACCCAAATCAAACTCATTTTATCTCAACAATAGAAAGAGGTATTTATTAACATCTGCCGAGTGCCCCTAATGTTGCGTATCTACACAGAGCCTACATTCCATCCTGATAATTTCTCCCCTCTGTAGTTCTGTTAACATTTTCCAGAGTTTCGATATTAGTAGAGGCAGGAGAATCTATCTCGAGTTGCTAACAAAGAGAAAAAAAACCCTCAAGAGAATAATTCAATTCTCTAATAAATATGTTGAATGAAGTGTATAACATTTGAGTTTCCCTCCTCACTCCTACCCCAAATTAAAGGATTTTCCCACCCCTCCATATTTCAGACAACTGCCCATTTCTAAAAATTAGAATCAAATTCAAACCCCCAAACTCAAAAACCTCAGACAATACCAAAAACAACCGGTTTTGTTGTCTATATTGAATATAGGTGATTTCAGAAGCAAACTCAGAAGAACCATTAGGATAAATATATTTGTTCACTTGTTTTTATAAGTTTATAAGTTTTTATTTTAACAAACCAAAAACTACCAGATTGCTGCTTCTTTCAGATCAGACATATTATAAGAGATGTGTCTACTGTGATATCTGCAATAAGTTGCTAGTAAATTCCCAAATAACGTAAGGAAATTGACAGTTTATCATCACTGGGCATAAAAAGCTGACCAAGAGCTTTAACATTTTAAGTTTGCTGAATACACTTCATAGGTACATTTTCCCTCTTACACACAGCAGAAAATTACTATAGCTTTAGTTTTCTAAATCAAGAAAGAACAGGAAAATACAATCTCGGGAATGTTTCCATACACACTATTTATACAATAACTACATAAGAATATATGTATGCAGAAACTTCTCAAGAAAGAAAGGTGGAAAGCAAAACATATACAGCAGAGCACGTATGGGCTAGACATTAAGGTCAGCACTTCATATACCACATCTTAATCAATTTAGTCCTCCAAACTATCCAATAAGGATGACCTGTGTACCCATTTTACAACGGAGAAAAATAAGGCTGAGCAAGGCTTAGAGAACAGCTGAAAAGAGCTTGCAAATCACTGAAAGCCTTTCTAGGAAGAACTAAAGTTTCATCCATAAGAATAATAATCATCCTCAAATCAAAGCCATAGCAAAGACCCCGGAGGCAACTTTATAACTGAGGGACAGTCTACATAGCTGGAAACCAATATTCCTGGGAATGCTGCCTGCCTAGAGCATTCGTCCAGAAAGCAAAGGGGCCTGCCTAGAATTGCTAATATTTGTAAAGTTAATCATTGTTAACAGGCATTCAATTGCTTGCTTTTAATTCCTAGAGGGACTAATTGATCCTGATACCCCACATCAGTTTCTAAACACACGCTTTGGGCCTCTGGTTAGAAGCAGAGACTGTGTAGAACACAAAAGTTGGTAGCAGGATAGGCTATAACAAAGACTTCTATAAATACTTTAAAATTAAACCTCATTTTCCACAAAAAATGTCACAGTGATGTTCATGTGAACAAAGAAGCTTTGAGGAAATAACTAGAGGAAAATCAAGACAGCTTGAATGTCTCCTAGCATTTATTTTTCTTTTTTTAATAAACAAGTTGTGATAGACAACCTCAGCAAAAATAACTCTCCTCTCCAATAAAACTTTCTGCAGACCAGCTCTATGGAACTGAGTCAGCCTCTATTTTAATTTCGACCTCAAAATGTGCTTTTGGTGTTTTTCATATTGAAACAAAAAATAATATGAAAATTAATCAGAGTTGCAGTCAATT